TGCGGGGGGTGTCCGTCACTGTGTGTGTGTGCTGGTGCCGGGAGAGGGAGGGGTGCATCTTGAGGCTCCGGCCGGAGCCACCCTTTCCGGGAGACTCCGGCTGGTTGCACACTTTTGGGGCACCCTCCTTCCGGCCAGTTTCCCGGCAGCGGGCACCCCCCCCTGCTGTTGCCCCTTTTCCCGGTCGGGGCCAGTACAGGGAGCGGGGCAGGGCGCCAATGTCTGCCGAGCGCGAGGGTGCTGGCGCGCCTGCATCCCTCAGCTTGTGTGGGCGGGAGACTTAGCACCGTGACTTTTGGCAGGAGAAGGAAAACCCGATGGCGGAGCTCCAGACAGTCCCCCTACGAGGGCAGGGAGCTCTTCTTCGTCCATCCCCCCCCCCTTCTCCCGTCCAGTGGCGGATAAAACTCCGGCACGGACGAAGGCCCGGCCCTCTGTCCCTGCCGGCCCGTCTCCCATGTCTGGGGTGGGCTTTTTTCAACCCAACCTGACTGGATCCGTGCTGCCGGTGGAGTGGTGGTGATGACGCGCTGACGCACGCCCTGTGGCTCGATTTGCCCTTGTAGCTGGATATTGTTATTGTTTTCTTTTTAACCTCCCTCGTGCCGGACTCCGTTCTCCCGTCCGCCAGGGGAGGCTGCTGCGCTCCGCCCGAGGAACTGGCGTGCACGCGCGTGCACGCGCATGGGCCCGCATGCATGTGTGTGTTCGCTGGGGCGCGGGCTAGGTGCGGCACGACTGTTTCGTTGCCTCCCAGCTCCGGGCCTGCCCCGGCTCGCGTCTGGTCTTTTTTCTGCCGCCTGATCATGACTCAAGGCAAATGCGCCCTCCGCAAACGCGCTCCCTCCCTGCCGCATCCTTCCCCCCTGTTCTATCCCCCTCTTTCCGTAAGTCGCCGCCCTGCCTCTTCCTCCTTCGCCCTCCCTCGCCCTCCCTCGCCCTCCCTTGTCCCCCACTGCCCCCTCCTCCACCGTTTACCATCCCCCCCCCCTCTCTCTCTCTCTCTCTCTGTCTCTCTCTCTCTTTTCTCCTCCTGCTCGTTCCTATTACCTTCTTCGTCCCCCCCTCAGTCCGCCGTCCTTCTCATCTCCATTCGCTTCCCCCATCGTTCATTCACCGCCACTGACCCTCCCTCTCTCCTCCCTCCTCCGTTGTCCCACATGCCGGCCCGACAACAGAACACCATGTCCACCTCCATCACTCGCAATGTTGTCGCCGGTCTGGCTCTCGCCATCCCCCTGATGGCTCCGGGCGCCGCGGCCTTCGGTGTTGCTGATACCTTCGCCCTGCTGATCGGCCTGGCCCTGCTCTTCATCATGATCTGCGCCGGCCTCGGCTGGTACTCTCGCCGTGTCTAAGTGCATCCTCCCCCAGGGCTCACTTTCGATCCCCCCCCCCCCGCTCAGCGAGATGACCTGCACGCGCTCTCTCGCTTTTCACTCCACATTGAACTTGTCCCCCCCCCCCTTCCTCCCCTCCTTGCGGTGGTGCGCATACTCCCCCCCCCTCTCTCCCTCTATCTCCATCTTGTGCGCATACACTGGGCCCGGGTGCTACACCTGTTCTCTTGTCGCCCTTCGCCCCTTCCTCTCCTTCTATTGGGAACACCCCTTCCCCTCCTTGTCTTGAGGTGGAGGACTCCCTTTCACTTCCTCCCTCCCTCCTTCTCCCCGAATATATCCTCTTGAAAAGCGCCTCTGCACTGGTGATTCCATGCCCGCCTACATGCATAGATCTTCATGCCCGCGCGCCCTCCCTGTTACACATCAGCCCCATTTCAACTCTCCTTCTCCCGGTTGCCACTGCCCGATGATGTGTGGCTCTTGTGTCGGGGAATTTTTATTTTATTGCTTTTTTGCTACGAGAGACGTATGGGGAAACGGAGAAATCTATGGGTGAGGCGCACACGCGCACATGCGGTCGATCAGGCAGAGGTGACACAACGTCACTGGGCGTAGGTCGGGGAGGGGGAAACGGAGAGAAAAAAAGGAGACAGGCAGCATTCTTTGACTTGTGGCTGCCTCCAGGGGAGGATTTGAGCTGGGCAGGTCCCTTCCCCTCCCCCGCGTTCCCGTGCCCCCTGGCTGGGGGCAGGGGCGAGGGGTGAGTTCATTCACACTGCTGTCACTTGGACAATTGCGCAAAAGTGCGAGATGCCAGCAAGCAGGGGAAGAGGGCCAAAATGGATCAAGAGGCAGGAGGAGAGCACTCTTAGTTGTCATTGAGCGCGGTCTGGGGCTTGTTGTAGAAGCCATAGCGAGCCATGCGGTCATCCTGCTTGAGGACAGTGAACCGCAGGAGGCGGTCGTCATTCCGGAGCTTGCGAGCCAGGGCATTGGCCACGGTAGGGCTAGAGTCGAACATCACCGAGTAGTAGCTATGCCAGGCGGGAGAAGGGATTCACGGAGGTCAGAGCGAGATGCATGGAGAGCGAGAGAGGGCAAGTGGGAGGGAGAAGTGAGGCCGGAGTTGGCCGCGCAGGGACGCACGTTCCAAAGGTTTCATAGGGCTTGGTGGCGTTGGCGCGCATCTTGTAAGGAAGGACATTGCCACCGAGGCTGTTGATCTCGCGCACAACACCGTTGTTGTCGAGAACCATGAAGGCAGTGGCCTTGACAAGGTTGTGGAGCTCGTGCTGTTGCGCCCCCCCCCTCGAATTGGTTAGTGGCCTGTTGTTGTTGTTGTTGTTGATGATGGTGCGCGTGTGCCTGCGCGGGAGACACCGCACGAGGACAGGAGGTTGGCAGCATACGTACACGAGGAATGAAGGGACGGGCAATGCAGAAGAGCTCGTAGAGAACCATGGTTTCGGAGAAGAGTGGCGCGTGGCTGGCTGCGGCAGGGATGGAACGGCACGCGAGACGTGAGTGGTGGGATGGGTGAGGAGGGGGCAAAGACACGGCGGAGCTGGGGGTCGGGCAGGGAGGGAGGGAGGGGAGGGGGGGGTGTAGGAGGGGACAGAGTAAAGAAGTACATGTGACAGAGGGAGCGCTTTCTCGTTGACGGCAACAGCAGACTGCCCAGCCGGAAGGCGTGTGCTTTTCTGTGGTCCAATGCCTGCTTCGGCCAACCAGATCGCGTAGGAAAGTCGAGCCAAGAAATCGTCAGGTCGGCGGCGAATTGCGGGCCGGAGTGCGTCATGGGGAGCCAGGGCGAGGAAAGGAAATCGCGGCCGGGGGCGGGGGGGGGGGAGAGAGCGGCCAGGGCGGCCAGGAGCCAGCGGGTGGGCAGGCCGGCTGCCTGGTATCCCAAAACGTGGGCATGTCGGAATGGTGTTCCGATGCGTTGGGACGCGTCATCACATGGTCGATCTCTCCACCCGCTCGACTACGGTGTCCCGCGCGCGCCCCCTCGTCGCCTTGCCCCCCGCGCCCTGCCCGTGTCTGCCTCCCTCGCCCCCAGACATCCATTGCTTCGGCGCGTGAGCGCGAGCGCCTGCGTGTGTGCGTGTATGTGTGTGTGTGTGTCTGTATTGTGTGCTCTCTCCCCGAGTCACCGTCCTCCAGTCAGCCTGCGCTGTGCCTTAGCTCGGCTATTTCTCCATGCATGCGGGTTTGTCTTCGGCTCTGAGTGAGCCCCATGGCCGGAGGAGATCTCACCAGGACCCGGTGCAGCAGTCCACATGTAACGGCAGCACCGCACGAGGGCCCCCGGCGCACGGGGTCCCGGCAAGCGCGGCCGGAGAGAGAGGTAGCTCGTGTGGTGCCAGTGGAGAGCGGCGCCTCGTCTTGAGACACCTCCTCCTGGGCCCGGGCGAGTGGTTCGCGGGACGGAGGGGAGGGGGGGGGGCACCAGGGACCATGGGGCCGCGGGCATGCGCTCGCCACCGTCCTCCGCGCATTTGTGTCTAGTTTCGCCGGGCCAGGGCTGGCCCACGGGCGCCGGATCGCCATGTCCCCGTCCCGCGTCCTGCATTTCCCCCTTTGCTCGCACGGACAAAAGGCCTCAGCCTCGCTGGCCTGGAGGCCGGGGTGGGGAAGCAACCGCCGCCCCACGCCGCTCCCCTTCCCCTCGCCCCTCTTTGCCTCCCTCTCGACGACCGGCCGTCGCACGCTCCTCCCCCCCCCTCCCTGTCCCTCCCTCTGTCCCCCGGCCTCTGTCCCCTCGTCGGCCCACCGCGCGCGTAGCTCGATGTCCTTCGCGCCGTTGTCGACCCGCCCCGGCGGGGCCCCGCCAGGCGCGGACGCCACCGGCCCGGTTCCGCTCTCCAGCAGTCTCCTTCATTCGGCCGACCCGTATGCCTCTCTCCTGCCGGCCACTCCTGGCGGGGAAGCCCGGCGCCCGGCAGCCAACCTGGGCTTTTCTGCCCTCTTTGGCACCCCGGCTCCCGCGGCCGGCGGGCTCCTGTTCCGTGGTGCGCGTGCTGGTTCCGCGTCGGCGACCCTGGCCACAGGATCGTCGGCACCGGCCCCGGGGCCGGCAGCCGGCTCTTCCACCATCCCCGGCGCCCAGGCCGCCGGGTCGTTCGGCCTCTCTGCCGCGGCCCTCGCCGGCGATAGCCTCGGCCCTTTGGGGCGTTCCACGGCACCCGCCCCACATGCCTGGACCCAGCAGACCCAGCTGCAGCCCCCCTCACAACCCCACCTGCAGCCCCTTGCTCGCACTCTCCCACAAGACACCACATATCTTCCCCCAGCGGCGGCGGCCTCCCTCGGGAACAGTGGCATCGGGCCTGCGCGCCCTGGCGCAGGCCGTAGTGCCGGCTTCGCGACCAAGGGCACGCGCTCGGCCCCGGCGACCGGGCTGGCCGCTCTGCTTGAACGCCTGCGTCGCCTCCGGTCGCAGTACCTCTCGCACCGACCCTCCCCTTGGGTTTTCTTCTCCAATGCCCTTGTGGCCCTGGCCCTGCTGGCAGTCTACCTGTCTCTGGGCTGGCGGCACTTCTGCGAACGTCTGGCCATCCGGTCCGGCATCCAGCCCGACACCTTCGACTATGTCGGTGCGTGCCGAATCCCATAGCCCTGTCTCTGCCTCCCCTTTGCCCCCCCTCCCCTTCTCGGATATCTTCCCCTCCTCACCCGAAGCTGCTCTTCCCTCCTCTGCC